TATTGCTTTTTACAGATTCAGACTAACACGGCTACCCCTCTGATACTTGAACTCAGATGACTATTCTAAGCCTCCACTGATTCCACAACAGCCACAGTTATTTTTAGCCTGCTAGTGTGAGTGTCTATATGGGCTGGGAGGTTTGCTCTCAACTGTAGTGTAGACACCCATGGAAACCTCCTCAACATGCTTTTCTTGCCCTTGTTTTGGATCACAGCTGAGAGTGGTACTGACGACGCCTCAAAACAAAGTGCCACTCGAAATTGGTCCCATACTGATAGCTTCATGTTCTAATGCAGGCTTCTTTGGTGCCAAGGGAAGACCTATAGAGGGGATTTCTGATCAGGACCAAGACTCTTCAGGACTGAAGAGATTCCATGTACCCGAGTAACAGTAGCTGCCTGTTTAGGAAGAGATGCATTCTTTGGCAGGGAAGCCCCCAGAATCAAGAAAGTCTCACACTGACAGGAACTTTATGAGAAACAGGACACAAATACTAAAAATGATTTTAGAACAAATGAAGTCCTGGCACTGCTAGACTCAACTTGGAACCAATATAGTGTCTTCAGTTGGGTGGTCCCAGGGGCAGGGATAGTCCTTCCCTCAGTAGATGGTTGGACCACCTTTTCATGCTGTGGCTCTAGGGGGGTTGGTTGGGATGCAGTAGCTGGAGTGTTTGGGGAGTCGGAAGCTGGAGCTGGACCATGTGGTGTTTTGGCCTTCGGAGCAGAGATAGGGTGGCGGCAACATAGACTGGCAGAGTTGGACTCTTCCAGTTCGAGATATCCTTTGCAGGTGACTTACTGAGACTTACATTTCTTCTGTGTCTCAAAAGGCAGATTGCAGAAGGAAAAATCGAAAGGTGATCCGCTTGCTATGGATTCTCGAGATGTCTGCTGAGGCCGCCAATGTACTGGAATCCTCGGACCAGATAGCAGAAGGGGCAGAGGAGTGTGTCTGTAGGGAGGGGATACTGGAGATAGATGCAATCATTCTCCTTTTCTTCTCCCTCTGTTAGATGGGCTTCAGCCATATAGGCGGATTCACTAGATGGTTCTCGTTGTTCTGGGAGAGTAGTATGGATGTTATAACCTATCTGGCAGAGATTTCTTTTTCACAGGAGCCATCCTTGATGTGCTTGGCACTGAAATCAAGAGGTCTAACTCCACTCCTTAGGTGGAGGGGATGGATGAGACAGGCCAAGAAAGCTTACTCTGAGAAAGGCTCAGAGCCTCCGTTGCCTATCAGCATGGGCCTGATGTGTTGAAGACTTGCACAATGCAGCAGTTTGGGAAGATCCGTTTCCATCCAAAAGAACAAACAGGCACGTGTAGCCTTCTCTGGGAACACAGATGGGAATGACACAACTTAAACCTATATTTTTTATATCTTCCTTCTTGGTAGCTACAGATCAGTTCTATTTCATTGGCATAGGAACCAAAACTGAGAAAAGAACAGTGCAATGGCACAAATTGAGTAATATCTAAAAAAATTCTAAAGCAACTAACAATAAACAACAAACAAGAGGATAGGATATTTGGTGTACAGAACCTTAGAAATTCTTCCAGATATGGAGAGAAAGTCCCAATCCCTATAGCAATTGAGGAAATAAAGGATTAGAGCTGGTTGAGACTGCACTGCCTTTATAAGCTCACTCCAAATATGCAGTGCCACAAGAGGACACCTGTGCTGCCCCAATGAACACACTTTTCCAGAAGGTGTGTCAGTTAGGATTATGCACTGCCATTTAAAAAAAACTATTGCTGTCATCCCATATGCAAATCAAATAAGTTACTGCTTGATTATTGGATCCCTTTGAAGTATGATAAACAATTAAAGAATTAAACCTGTGGCAACAAGTGAACTTCAGAAACCCTCCAAGATCTTAGGAATGTTTAATTTTGTAAAACTTGGAACTTTTTTGAAACTAATTTAGGCATCCTCAAAGCCTTTGAGCAAAAAGGTATCTCTCTCTACTATGATCATGACATTTGTGTAAATTAAAGGAAAATAGCATCTCTGACAACTGATTCCTGAGAGAGTCTCCTGACTGCTAGCTGAAATACCCTGAAGCAGGCTCAGGTGCCTGGACACTAAACTATATTGAAATGTTGCTTGGTTAATACAGGATAGATGCTAGTTTTATTCCTCTTTCTGGTCCATTTTTGTTCAGGCATGAACTAGCCGTAGAAGAAACTCTTTGCTCTATTAGCTGTAAACTCAAATATTTAATTTGCCACTCATGAACTTTTCATGTGCACCTTTAAAAGGAAATGATTATTTGTAGAAACAGAAACAGAACAATTAATTTAGTTTCAAATGGAAATATTTAGTGCTACCAGTGTTAGTAATACTAGCAACTCTGTCATACTGCTTGTAGCTAAAATACTCTATCCTGTATTGTAAGTAGAGCTGCGCTTATTCAAAATGCTATCAGAGTTGAAACATTTATTTTATGGTACATGGTATTCACTAATGAACTTCACGCATTTCTATTTTAAATGTAATTATAAGATTATATTTTGGATTTAAATAATAAAATGTTTCATGATCTGCAAAACCTTTAATTTTTAATCAAAGACTGAACTGCATAAAAATATACATAACTTACACGAGCTTAAATTTCAAGACACTAACTGAATTTGATGAGCTTGTGGGCATATACCCCTCTAGTGGAATTATACGGTATGAGCATTTCACCATTCAGGATCAGTACAAATAAACTAAGTGGCTTCATTCATTCATTCAAAGCCAAGTGACCAAGGATGCCTATATGGCACATGAAAGGCCATTCACAGACTCATTGCTTTTGAGCTCTTAATCCAGGACCTTCTCCAGCTTAGTTAGGCAGCTTGTCTCACACCAGGCCCTGCTACCACCACCATTAATCTTGGGGGCTTGATTTAGCTAAATAAAAAGGGTCCAAAAACCACACCATGCAACAGGGTAGACTGATTTAATCATGATCTAAATCACCAAGTGGAAACATCGATTTAAATTACTATTTTAATCAGCTTTTCCAGGTATACTCTAGTTATTTTCTAAAGAAAGATGCATTCTCATTGGTTGATATAACCATTAAAACATGTTGATTTACAACTCAATAGGGCTTTTACACTAGATTTGGTACATCTTTTTACTATCTAGGAGGGTACACTATAACCACATACTTTTATTTAAGCAATTATATGGTTTAATATTTCCAGATTCTTATTAGCTGTACATTTTAGTATGTTAGAAAATGATGAGTGATATATTGCTTATTTACTAGATAACTTTTTGCTCATGATTTGTGTCAAACTGCATTAGAATAGTAACTGAATTTTAATTAAAAACAAAACAGCATTTAAATTTTATTAAAACAAAAACAGCCTTAACTGTTTTGGATATACAAACGTCTCTTATCAAAACATGTTTCAAATTTACAACTAAATTATAGTATGTTTAGGCCTTAAGATAAATCTGAATTTAAGACAGGCTCATTTTAAACAGATTTTTTTAAAGAACAAAAAAATCTCAATTTAAACAATCAGATTTTATTTTTATTTTTTAAAAATAATTGATTTTTATCTACCCTGGCAGGCAGCAGACTCAGGATGTGGTATTTGTTTATTTTTTAAAAATGAACTTTGTGCAGAAGATATCTGATCTCAGAAGACGTAATACAATCATTTAAAACATGTGAAATGAAGAAAACTAATTGATCTTGTAACCGCAGCCTGTCCTCAATGGATACTGTAGCTGCTACCATGAATCTGTTTCAGTGCAGAATGAATATTAACTCAAAGTGTAAATGTGGAGCTAATTTAATTTGCCATCTAACGTGCTTTGATTCAACTACCTACTCTAATAGTTACATGCCACATTTTGTATAATTAAATATTAAAGCTATGTAAAAAACAATTTATTTTACATCAATCTTCGGAAAACATTTCTGTTAAGATGATTGCTAAGTTTTAAATACACCATACATACTCTACATGCAATTTTTAAAATACCTATAAAAATAAGTGTGTACACACTCTTTTCATTTTACTTTCTTACCAGGAAGATGTGATTAAAGAATACCAGAGGGGGGTAAATAAATATGTTTACATCTCTTAACCAAAAAAAATACCAAATTTGTTTTACTTCCAAATTAAATTTCTAGTAAAACTATTGGAGATTATGTATTGTAGGACCAACAAAGCTAATAAAAGAAAAATATATTTACCCCCTAGAACGCCTTCTGCAGTAGCAGCAGTAACAGCAACAGACAGCAATGGACAGCAGGATGAGTCCTGCTATTACAGCTATGGCAATGATGAAGGCCTCAAAGTTCACTGTTAAATAAAATAAATAAAATTAAACAACTTTTAAGACTTGAGCAGTGATCATTTGAATTTGTTTTCTCCCCGCTTCATCTGATGAACATTTTGTTCATTCTCAGTTTCATCTTTGGTTTCTTTATGCAGTACTCTTAAAGGAGTTTTAGTAGAATAGCTGCTAAAGCAACACCTTGTACAGTTTCACATAAGAACTCTGCCACTGTCACTCACAGAAAAAAATATTCACCAGACTAATGAGATCAGGTTGCTTTTTAAACCCTTTGTTAGCCCTCTCCTTTTAAACTGTGCATTCTACTCTTGTATATAAAAACACATCTTCATCTCAGATTTTGACATGGCAATGGACATTCTCTCCCAATTTTTCTTCATGCACTATGATTTTCTCAGTTACAGAGCTATACGGTGTTTATGCATAACTGGGCAATTTACAACCAGTATACAGATGTCCCAGACATTTTCAGAGCATAGCTTAATAAAAAAAAAAAATCTATGAACCATTAGGGTACGTCTACACTACCTGCCGGATCGGTGGGTAGTGATCGATCTATCGGGGAGCGATTTATCGCATCTGGTGTAGACGCGATAAATCGATCCCTGATCGCTCTGCCGTCGACTCCAGAACTTCACCACAGTGAGAGGCGGAAGCGGAGTCGACGGGGGAGCGGCGGCAGTCAATGTGAGGATGTGAAGTAAGTGATTCTAAGTCGAGCTAAGATACATCGACTTCAGCTAGGCTATTTTCATAGCTGAAGTTGCGTATCTTAGATCAATCCCTCTCCCCTAGTGTAGACCAGGCCTTAGAGTCAACAACATGCATAGTTAAATCCTGGCCTCATCCATCTGTTTTGAGTTTTGGCCAGGGAAGAGGTCATTAGAAGCTTTGATGAAAGCTGCTTCAATGGAATGCAAAAGACAAAAAATGGATTGGAGAGGATTAGGAATGGAATTGAAGGAGAGGAACTCTAGACAGTAGTTGTGGACTGTGCATTCAATGATCTTAGAGATGAAAGGGAGAACAGGTGTTAGAGAGGCAAGGATTTTTTTTTATTTAAACTCTCCCAGATCTCATCCCTTATTTTATCCCCTTTCCTCACCACAACTGCTTGCTGCAACAGATCTCCAATGTATCTCACAGATGTGTTCACTCTATTCCTTCACATCAAAGGCCAGAAGTTTACAATGATGGATTTGTTATTAGGGCATTAAATGACAAGGTTCTGTAACATCATTATGTAGAACCATGAAAATTTTTTCAAGACACTGCATTCTCAAATGTATTCCTTAGTTTGACATTCCACTGCAAGATTTAATCTGTGTTGTGGCACCTGTGAAAGGGATCTTAAAAAGGCAAGACTCCTGCTACAGAAAGTAGAGATTTTTAGTAACATAGGAATTGCCATATTGAATCAGACATTGTCACACCTTGTCTAATCCAGCACCAACAGTGGCCAGCACCAGATGCTTCAGAGGAAGGTTTAAGACCCCTGCAGTGGTAGATGTGGGGTAATATGCCCCCCATTAGATCTTATTCTGGTCTCTAACAATTAGAGATTTGCTTGCCCTGAAGCATGAGATTCAATAGCCTGTCAAAAAAAATTATAATTAATGACAACTCTGGATATACATATAAACATTCAATCCTTTCTGAATTTGCTAAATTCTTAGCCTCAGTGACTTTCTGTGGCAATGAGTTCCACAGTCTAATTACAAGTTGTGTGTAAATTATTTCCTTTTGTCGGTTTTGAATTTCTCATCTTCAATTTCATTAAATATCCTCTTTTTGAATTACGGCCAGGAGAAGTAAAGTTCCTGATCTCCCTACTTTATGCCATTCATAAAGCAAGGAAAGTGATCAGGAACTGTCAGCATGGATTCACCAAGGGCAAGTCATGCCTGACTAACCTAATTGCCTTCTATGATAAGATAACTGGCTCTGTGGATGAGGGGAAAGCAGTGGACGTGTTATTCCTTGACTTTAGCAAAGCCTTTGATACGGTCTCCCACAGTATTCTTGCCAGCAAGTTAAAGAAGTATGGGCTGGATGAATGGACTATAACGGGCGGGCAAACTTTTTGGCCTGAGGGCTGCATCGGGTTTTGGAAATTGTATCAGGGCCAGTTAGGGGAGGGGGCCGTGGCCTGGCCCCCACCCATCTGCCCCCCCCCCTCCAGGATCCCTACCCCATCCAACCGCCCCTTCTCCCTGTCCCCTGACTGCCTCCGGAGCCCCTGCCCCTGACTGCCAGCTGCCCCATCCAACCCCTCCTCATTCCTGACTGCCACCCTGGGACCTCTGCCCCCATTCAACCCCACTGTTCCCTGCCCTCTGACCACCCCGACCCCTATCCACACCCCCGGCCCCGACCACCACCCCGAACTCCTCTGCCCTCTATACAAGCCCACCACTCCCTGCCCCTTTACCGCATTGCCTGGAGCGCTGGTGGTTGGTGGCACTACAGCCATGCCACCTGGCTGCAGTCAGCCAGGCCGTCGCCACGGCTCAGCACAGAGCACCAGGTCAGGCCGGGCTCTGCAGCTGCACTGCCCCAGAAACTCGCAGCCCCGCTGCCCAGAGCACTGCGCCCACAGCAGAGTGAGCTGAGGCTGTGGGGAAGGGGCCGGGGATAGCCTCCTGGGCCAGGAGCTCAGGGGCCGGGCAGGAGGGTCCCGCAGGCTGGATGTGGCCCGTGGGCCGTAGTTTGCCCACCTCTGGACCTTAAGGCGGATAGAAAGCTGGCTAGATCATCAGGCTCAATGGGTAGTGATCAATGGCTCCATGTCTAGTTGGCAGCCGGTTTCAAATGGAGTGCCACAAGGGTCGGTTTTGTTCAGTATCTTCATTAATGATCTAGAGGATGGCGTGGATTGCACCCTCAGCAAGTTTGCAGATTACACTAAACTGGGAGGAGTGGTAGACACGCTGGAGGGTAGGGATAGGATACAGAGGAACCTAGACAAATTAGAGGATTGGGCCAAAAGAAATCTGATGAGGTTCAACAAGGACAAATGCAGAGTCCTGCATGTAGGATGGAAGAATCCCATGCACTGCTACAGACTAGGGACTGAGTGGCTAGGCAGCAGTTCTGCAGAAAAAGACCTAGGGGTTACAGTGGACAAGAAGCTGGATATGATTCAAGAGTGTGCCCTTGTTACCAAGAAGGCTAACGGCATTTTGGGCTGTATAAGTCGGAGCATTGCCAGCAGATCGAGGGACGTGATCATTCCCATCTATTCAGAATTGGTGAGGCCTCATCCAGAGTACTGTGTCCAGTTTTGGGCCCCATACTACAGGAAGGATGTGGAAAAATTGGAGAGCCCAGCAGAGGGCAACAAAAATGATTAGGGGCTGGAGCACATGACTTATGAGGAGAGGATGAGCAAACTGGGAATATTTAGTCTGCAGAAGAGAAGAATGAGGGGGGGAATTTGATCACTGCTTTCAACTACCTGAAAGGGGATTCCACAGAGGATGGATCTAGACTGTTCTCAGTGGTACCAGATGATAGAACAAGGAGTAATGGTCTCAAGTTGCAGTGGGGAAGGTTTAGGTTGGATATTAGGAAAAACTTTTTCACTAGGAGAGTGGTGAAACACCGGAATGGGTTACCTAGGCAGGTGGTGGAATCTCCTTTCTTAGAGGTTAAGGTTAGGCTTGACAAAGCCCTTGATGGGATGATTTAGTTGGGGAATTAAGTCCCGATTTGAGCAGGGGGTTGGACTAGATGGCCTCCTGAGGTCTCTTCCAACCCTAATATTCTATGATTCTATAAGAGGAGTGTAAAAGGAACATCAATTTAATTTATACTTATTTTGCTGTGTGTGTATATATGTGTGTATATATGTATGTAAATATATATCTCTTGTCTGGTGAAAAAAATTTCCTTGGAACCTAATCCCCCAATTTGCATTAATTTGTAAAGGGAAATTGGATTTGCTTAAAGTTGGATTTTTCAGGAACATAACTACAATGTTAAGCGAGGAGTTACTGTATATAGTGTATCCTCAGAGGAAAAAAAAAGCACCAACTCTGGTGTGCAGGCTATATTTACCTGTAAAGCAACATGTTTTAATGGCTATCAATGAGAATCAGCTATTCCTTAGGAAAATAACTTAAAAAGTACAAATGCAAAACATAATTAAAATATGTCTTAAATCAGGGGTGGGCAAACTTTTTGGCCTGAGGGTCACATCGGGGAATAGAAATTGTATGAAGGACCATGAATGCTCACAAAATTGGGGTTGGGATGTGGGAGGGGGTGTGGGATCTGCGATGGGGCTAGGGATGAGGAGTTCGGGGTGCAGGAGGATGCTCTGGGCTGGAATCGAGGGGTTTGGAGAGCAGGAGGGGTATCAGGGATGGGGCAGGGGTTGGGGCATGGGGAGAGGCTCAGGGGTGCAGGCTCCGAGCAGCGCTTATCTCAAGTGGCTCCCAGAAGCAGTGGCATGTCCCTTCTCTGGCTCCTACGCAGAGGCGCAGCCAGGCAGCTCTGCACACTGCCCAATCCACAGACACCACCCCTGCAGCTCTCATTAGAGCATATAGGAGCCGGAGCGGGGCCATGCTGCGGCTTCCAGGAGCTGTGTGGTGCGGTCCCCGCAGGGCCGGCTCTGGCTTTTTTGCCGCCCCAGGCAAAAAAGCCTCCCGCTGCCCCCCACCCGGGAGCGCGGCAGGGGAGGGCGCCGCGCCCAGCTGCGGCCCCGCTCTCCCTGGCCGGCCGGAGCGCTAGGGGGAAGGTGGCGAGCCCAGCCGCGGCCCCGCTCTCCCTGGCTGGCTGGCGCGCTGGGGGGAGGGTGGCGAGGCCGGCCGGGGCCCCACTCTCCCCGACCGGCCGGAGCGCCCCCCCTCCAGGTGCCGCCCCAAGCACATGCTTGGTAGGCTGGTGCCTGGAGCCAGCCCTGAGCCCCCAACCCTGCGCCCCGGCTGGAACACTGGAGCGGAGCCAAACCGCGTGGTGCCGTCCCAGACCCAGCACCCCGGACGGAGTGGGGCTGAGCTGCGTTGTGCGGCTCGTGGGCCAGCTTAACGGCTGTAGTTTGCCCACCCCGTCTTAAATCAAGATTTCCTGCTTGCTGATTTAAATCATGATTAAAATCTGATCTAAAAATCAAGCCACCCCGATGTCTCCTAAAGCACACAAGTGATTCTTGTTGGTCCATTTTGGTTGTGAATTCATGGCAGGGATCATCACTTCCTTTCTATTTGTATAGCACCAAGAACATCCTAACATACAGCTTCTCACAATGACAAGCCATAGGAGTCACAATCCTTACATTATTCAGACACAAAACTAATTTGTGAATTAAAGTTGCTAGACTGCATAATTTGTCAAAACAAACTGTAAAAAGTAAGGAAATAAGCAGTGATGCCATTCCACTCATCAGCTCCTCCCCGCTCCCCATTTTTGTTTTAACCTCAACTGCATCTCTTCAGCACCCACCGCCCACACACCTCCATCCTCAGCCTGAGCCACTCTCATATGCTCTTGAACTTTCCATCTGCATTTATTCCAGTGGAGGTACTGGTATAGTACCAGTTCTCTGCTGCCATCATAGTTGTCTGTGCATGCTGAGGAGGCAGCCATGAGAGCAGCAACATGCTTCTACCATGCTGACTCCCTTCACCCAAGGTGAAGAAGGGCACACACATCATCCTACCTCCTGTAGAGTTGGAAGAACAACCCCTCTGAGTGTCAAGGTGCTGATGTGCTTACTAAGGCAGACTGCCCCTACTCTGTACATGAAAAGGCTGCTCCTGAGGATCTCAGGCAGTGTACATTTGTGAATCCCACCTAAGATGATGCTCCTTGGGTGGAACATATTCTAAATCATAAATACTACATGGTAGTCAACTTAATTCTGGAATAAAATCAATATTAGCTTACTATAGTCTGAATTACAAGTAATTACATATGTTTATTAAAATTACTATTAGTACCTACTCCAGCAAACACCCCATCGAGCACTGTAGAGTGGACACAGTGAAGATGATGGAAGAATACTTCTCACAGGATAGTCCATACACGTGTTGTTTGTATTACACCAAAGGCACTGCACAGGAGAGAAACGAAGACATATTACAACTACTGACCATCAGACAGCTATTTACAAACAAGGGCCCCAATACTACAGTCCATAGACAGAATTTCAAATTAAGTGAGTATAAATGCTGTGTCCTGTGACCTTGAAGAATGAAGCCCTATATGAATTATGGAAGCCCTGGTTGCAGTTCTATAGTTGGGGCTAAACTGAATTCATACTTAGAAAAAACTTTCAAATAATGGTGTTAAATATTAAAAAAGTATATCCTCCCCATAATTGTAGCACTTACTCTTCAAGTACTGAATGATCTAATATTTAAGTAATTTGTCAATTTGAGTCAGAGTCGTAGAATTCAAGGCCAGAACAGATCACTAGAGCATCTAGTCTGACCTGCTGCAAATCACAGGCTAACACCACTACTCACACACTAAACCCAACAACAGAAAATGAGATCAAAGTAAATGAGACCCAAAAGATACTAGACTGGGGAGACGGATTCTTCCTAAAAGTGGTGGTGGGGAGTGGTGGTGGTGGGGGGGAAGTATGAGGCCTTGCCCCATAGCCAAGCCAGAGCCAGGCCAGGGAGCCGGGCCACTCCAGCTGGCTGGAGGGGGGCGCCTGAGAGCAGCCCCTGTCCTGTGTCTCTGCCTCCTTGGTCTCCCGCCCAGGACAAGTAGAGGGACCACGGTACCCTACAGCTGCCCGCATGATACTTATCCCAACCTGCTCCAGCTTCCAACCTAGCTGGGGGCCAGGGCCTCAGGGGCCAAAGAGCCATAGCCGGGCTATGGTAAGAGCCATCTGGCAACAGTCCCTGGTCAAAGCATCCCTTCCACGCAGAGGTGCGCGTTTCCTGTCCGGGAGCGTGTGAGCCGTTTACAGCTACTAGTGTGACCAAGGACAGCTACCGGTGAGCCTGGTGCCCGTCACAGTGGGCAGGGTTGGGGCAGTACAGCCATGCCAGAAGAGCTGCCCAGGCTAGGTGCTGGCTTGTGCGAGTGGCAGCCTGACATACTGCTGCTTTTGTCACTGAGATTCCTGGCCCAGTCGCTGGCTATGGCCCTGCTTGTCTTGCTTGTTGTCGCTGGAGCCCTGCTACTCAGCGGACATCCGCTTTATATCTGCAGACATCCACAGACAGAAATTTTGTATTCGCACAGGGTTCTACCCACAGTATTCCTGGCACCTTTTTCACTACCACCCTGCACAATGGGTTCTTCTTTTCAATTCTCTAGATCTCTTTCCAAAGGCACTAAATACTTCCCAAGTACACAAATTCTCTTATGATTCAGCTTCTCTCCTGAAACTTTATTCAAGAGCTCTTCTTCTACCTTCCCTACATGCACAACTTCAGTTTTTGTTAACACCTTCAAACACAAATGCCCATTCTGATACTTTATTTACCAATTACTCTTTGCTGTCAGACAAAAGGGCCAGATCGTCAGCATGTGTTAGTTTTCTGTCTCCCCACGGGCTTGGTTCTCCTACTAATTAACTCCTTAACTAGGATGAAGAAAAGTGGACTCACTGACTCAATCCCATCACCTTAAAACTTTCCGAAATTCCATATATTGTTACCACCTGAGCTCTTGACCTTCAAGACAGCTCCATTATCTCCACTTCCTTAAGTCCCTCTCCCTTCAATATTCCAAATACCAGCTTCTGCAGAACCAACTCATATGCTTTCTCAAGATCATTAGATACTGAATAGCAGTTATGCCCTCCTTTTATCATAATTTCAAATGTCTCACTGCAAATATTATTGTGTCTATAGTACTCCTTTCCTTTCTTAAAGCGATGTTGCACCTCTCCTATATATTCCTGCTATTATTTTTTAATTACAAATACCATTAAGCTCTAATCATAATTGTATGGTTATTGAATAGTGTTGCTACGGGGCACAGTTAAGATCGTTTGGGTGCCTTAACTGTGCATTTCAATACCTTAATGTGTTTAGATTTTTTTAGAATTTTACCTCCATTCTGAATTTTGTGGAATTGCTGTAATTCCAACATGGCTATAAAGTTTTTTCCTCTTAAAGTACTGATTTGTACTCAGCCTTAATTCTACTTTAATTTTTATCTGGGAATATAATATTGACACTAATTCAGAATTCCTTCACCACACAAATGAATCAATGAAGAAATGTAGAATGGAGTTTTACTAGGAGCCCTTTCCAGATCACGTTTTAATAGGACCTACTCACTGCAGGAAGAGATTTCATCTAGAAACTATTAGTGATCCACTTGTACCACCAAGAAAATAGCTCTTAGAACCAGGATCTATTTTGCAGAGTATGCTGTTTTGTTTCTCTTTACAGGAGTCATGTTAGAAAGCCACATGCAGAAAATAAAGTTCTGACACCAATGAGATAATCATTCTCTTGCAGGTGGGGGAAGAGCAATTCATTACTTGTAGCTTGTGGTGCATGTTGCTTTGGTTCAAATAATCTTTCTGAAAAGACAGGCACTTCACTTTACTAAGTATCAGAGGGGTAGCCGTGTTAGTCTGAATCTGTAAAAAGTAACAGAGGGTCCTGTGGCACCTTTAAGACTAACAGAAGTATTGGGAGCATAAGCTTTCGTGGGTAAGAACCTCACTTCTTCAGATGCAAGTAATGGAAATCTCCAGAGGCAGGTATAAATCAGTCTGGAGATAATGAGGTTAGTTCAATCAGGGAGGGTGAGGTGCTCTGCTAGCAGTTGAGGTGTGAACACCAAGGGAGGAGAAAC